ACACACACACACACACACGGTGCCAAAAACATGTATACACATTTTAAGGAAGAAAAAAACTGTATTAAAATTGTAATACTCAATAGATACCAGTAACAAAAGATGAATACGAGTCATGTGTGACTTCTGCAATGACAAGAGGTGCTCAAAGTGGTGGCCATCAGCGTCCAGACACTTCTGATAACGGTGAACGACTGCTTGAGCGACGTTGACCCAAGTGTCCACTTGTGTACATTTTTTTGGCATCCCCGGTATATACACGTATATATGTTACCATTTGTGTGAAAAAGTGGAATAATATCTTTGTGATTGTATGCCCAAATATCTACATGCCCCCTGCCACACACACAACGCAGGGGGCTGTGGCATAAATACCACACGTGCTGGGCTTTAGGGTGTTGGGCCCTTGTGGAGTTTGCAGTGATGTCCGGGGGAGGGGTCCACTTAGCACAGAGCAGGGACTTCTGTGAGCAGAGGGCAAAGCCCACTGGGGTGGGAGGCAATGTCCTGGTTCTTGGGAACCAGAGGTGGGAGCCCCTTGGAACTGGAGTGAAAACCTAGCTCTGGGAAGGGCTGGTGGTCACAGCTGGGAGAGCACAGTGACCGGTGGCGATCACCTCTCAATGTGAGTGCGCTGTGATGGGGGGGAGCATGCTGTGATGGTAGCTGGCACCGCATCCATTTTTAAGTCTCAAGTTACTCTAAAGCTGCACTGTTCAATATACGAGTCACACTAGCCACACGTGGCTATTTAAATTTAACTTTAAATAAAAAGAACTCCAGTTCTTCATTTGCACCAGCCAATTTTCAAGTGCTTAGTAGCCACATACGACTACTGGCTATTTCCACAGAGAGCACAGATCTACACCATTTCCATCACTGCACGAAGTTCTATCGGGTGGGACTGCTGTAAAGCACCTATATCGGTTGAATTCCTGTTGTTATTTATTAGTTGTTTATTAAGCTTTGACAACAGATTTGTATGAGTTCTGAAAAAGTACACTTGTCGTTAAACTGGAACCACGTTCAATGGTATTGTCCACTTTTAACATTTTCATAATGTCCATTTCTTTACAATCATAATATTCATTTCCTTACAATCCAGATCCTATAATTTTTCAATGAACATCAAATTCTAGAGTCTTGAATGTTCTCTTCTTGAGTCATAACCAAGGGTCTGTTTCCCCTGATATGTGATAGAAAGGATCTCGGTGCAAATGTCCAGGAAAGAATAAACTGCTCTCTAAGGTTAGGGTAGGGGGTTTGGTTATGTCTTAGGCCACTCTGGGTATTGGCCAGACACAGTGTGACATGGGTAAGGGGAGTTCAGGCCCACCTTCTGGAAATTGGGGGTCCTTTGGTATGAGAAGGCAAGTCTAAGGCAGGGCGCTTGGAAAGTGGGGCTTGTTCAAGAGGACAGACTCAGGGGGAAGGTTTTCTGGTGTGCTCAGAACGTGCTCAGAGAATGTGGGCCTACGGCCTAATTTGTGCTGGTCTCTTGCACAGACACTGGCTCAGGGGTAGTGCTGGTGGCCAGGGGACACCTGGGGACCACTGGTGTTCTGGGCATTGAAGAGCCGGCCTCCTGGGCATCCTGGGATAATCCTGAGATCTTTACAGAGTAGGAGGCTGTACACCTTTCTGTGGTATAACAAAAATTTTACTGTCAGATAGGGTGGTCATAAATTTGAAATTAAATTCATCCCACCTCCGTTGAAGCCTCCTTTCTCCAAATGTGTCCTCCCCATGATTTAGAAGTGGGTTGCTGACTATCTTCCACCAAATAACCTTCCATAGTCACACAAAATTTTAATTTCTCTTTTGACTCTTACTTTTCCATTCTTTAATCATTCTCTTATTTAGCATTTCTTCTTCCTTTAGGCATTCTCTTCTCCATATTTACTCTATTTTTCTGTTCTAGCTTTCATCCAGCCATTGGCCTGCCAATGTCCCCATGCTTTGTATGAGCAGAGGACTGGGAATTAAGAGGCAATGACTTCGGTCCCAATGTTCCCAATATTATCTGTTTGACTCTGGGCCTTCGTTTCCGCATCTTCAAAGCCAGAAGATGGATGCAGTTCATTTTCAAGGTCTCTTTTAGCTCCAGGAACCAAATTACTGAGCCAGTTCAAGGACAACAGAATTTTATTCCCTTATATAAAATACATTAATAGAGCGAAGAATTAATTTATTAAAATATGTGCAAGATAATATACAGTATATATGGGTTAGTAAAAAGCTAGTGTGCTGGCGATAGACTCAAGTCACTTACTAGTTGTCTAACAAGAGTCTTCTAACTATCAAGTTTTAAATTCAGCAACTAGGACAGAGGAGATGACTTATCGAACTTGGAAAGATTGTGCAGTGTGTGAATTTCAGGTATGTACAAACTTTACATAGATTAAGAAACAATTACAAGTTCTAGAAACAAATGGTATGGAAAACTAACTTGGTGTAGGGCCTACAAAGGTCTAGCCGAGCGAACTCCGAGGCTGAGGAGCTGGTGGCATCCGCTTGGGTCTTCTTCAGACAGGCGCCATTCACCAGTGTTCCCTGGAGACGCGCGCCATCTCCATCCCCGAGGGAGACTCAAGGGCGGCTCCTCAGAAAAGCATTACTTTTTCTTTTTCTCCTTTTCCCCTTTCTTTTCCTTCTTTTCCCCCTTATCTCTTTCCTTTCCTGTGCTCCCTTCTGTTAATGCCAAGTTGCGCTTTTTACCCATAGGGGTTTTGGCATACCAGTCCTGAAAGAAAACAGATGATTTGGAAATGAACTCACTAGAACACTCTTAAAAATAAAGAAGAGCTTGCTAAGAAGGAAGGGGCATGCAGCCAGTAAACGGTGGGCATTTAATGTATGTTTAAATACAAATTCTTTCTCACCTGTGTTTCTACAGGTGAGGACATTTGAAACTTCTACTCAAGAAGTTAACCGTTTCAGAGAATCACAGGCCAAGTCTAACCAGCGACCCTTCCCAGCTAAGTCACCTATCTTCCTGGGGGGTCTTACTCAATCCTGAGGGTGTGGGTTTTCTTGGTAATGTGAATGAGCCCCCATGGTGCTCACAGGCCACTGGAAGCTGGACTGGTGGCCCTGTGTGCACCATGGGAGGTCATGCAAACACTTTAGAGGCACTGTGGAAAACCTGGCAGAAATAGTGAACCCAAAATATCAACAAAGAACTTAATGATTGCAGCTGGCTCTGCGATGGCATTTTTCTCAACTGTCACAGTTTATTTGAAACCTGAGGAACATTTTGATTTATAAACTTTATTTAGCAATATTTCATTGAATGACTATACTATATGTTGACAAAGACTATATGTCTCCTACTAATGACATATAGGTCATTTCAAATTTTGTGTTATTATGAACAATGTAGAAATTCACAATTTTTACACATCTCTTTATATACATATGAGGAAGCTTCTCTAGAGCATATACATAGAAGTAGAATTCCTAGGGTTGTAGGTCACGAGCATATTCAATTTTACTTATATTTCCAAATTGCTCTTTGAAGTGGTGGTGAATGGGGAACTATCTTTGTATGTCTTAAAATGTCTTTTTTCCCTCCTGTCTCTTGGATGCTAGTTTAGCTGGCTATAAATTTTAGGTAGACAGTTATTTTTCCTCAGCACTTGGCAGATAGGACCTCACTGTCTTTTGGCATCTATTGTGGTCTGATGTCTGATTTCCTACTTGTTGTTTCTTTGCAGGTAATCTGGTATCTTTTAAAACTGGCTTGTGGTCTTGTTCTCAGATTCACAAACATGTATGTATGTGTGGATTTATTTTTATTTGTCTGCTGGTCCCTTGGAGTTTGTTTTCAATCTGAGAACTCATGCCTTAATTCAGAAACATTCTTAGAAGTGTTTCTTCAAATTGTTGTTCCTTTGATAATTCTTCTATTCTTTTCTTCTAGAACTTCTTAGTTGGGTGTCAATGTCTTTAAAGGTTCTTAACCACAGTTCGTAGATTTTATCTTTTTGTTTTTCTGTGCTGCCTTCTCAGGAGCTCCCCAGGACCATCCTCTGGTCCACTAATTTGTTCTTTGACCATGTCTAATCTATAGTTCATGCCTTTTTTATTTTTTGCCACTTAATGTTAATTACTATATTTTTAATTTCTAAACTTTCTTTTTGTGATTTTTTTCATAATTATCTCCTTACTATTTCTGCCTGTTTTTGTTTTAAAACTTTGTGTAGTGATGCCTTCATTTATTTTTTTAACATCTTCATCATATTAATTTCAACATTTTTGTCAAACTGTACTTAGCACTAGATGTCATAAAATGTCTGCAATTTTGATTTTGAGATTCATTTTGAGTACAGGCTTTGTTTTGGTCTCTATCTCCCTCACTATTCCTCACTCCCTAGCAGTATTGCAGTTGCTTCCACACGGGTCTCTAAATCCTAATATAGAACTTATCATGATTATTAGAAGTGAATGTTCCTTGGTGATATTGAGATATCAGAGATCCAGTCACAGAATCAGCATGGATAGCTATTGTATCTTCCATGACTCATCTCCTTGTGTTTTCTCTCCCTTATTTTTCTCTTTGCAGCATGCCAGGCATATGGCTATGCCTGTGTCTGAGATTTATCTTTGTTTTTGGCACTTGGGGTTTTCTCATACTTCTTTTAGCCCTGGCTGTGCTTTCAATGTAAGGTGAGGTGGCCAAGTACTTTAGGTGATGAACTTTTAATTTATTGAGACACAGTACAGACTATGGTTCATACAACTGGCTTTTGGCTCTGGAGTAAGGATTGAATTTCAGCTCTGCTGCTTTATAGCTCTGTGACCTGGAACAAGTCACTTTGCCTCTCATTTTTTCTTTCTTTTATTTTCTTTTGCTGCTACAGCAAAGTACCACTTAGTGGCTTAAAACAAAACATTTATTATCTTACATTTCTGTAGGATGGAAGTCCAAAATGGGTCTCACTGGGCTAAAACCAAGGGGTCTGAAGGCTGTGCTCCTTTCTGACGTCTCCAGGGGGGAGTCTGTTCCCTCGCCTTTTGCAGTTTCCAGACATCACCTGCTTTCCCGGCTTGTGGTCCTTCTTGTATCCTCAAGCTAGCAGCGCTGGGCAACCCAAGGCCTCACACTGCTTTCTCTCTGGCTCTCTTCTGATTCCCTCTTTTCCTTCTTATGATTACAAGGACTCACAAGCATAGCCCAGGACCCCTTTCTATTTGGAGGCCAACTAATTACAACCTTAATTCCATGTGCAATTCGAATTCCCCTATCCCATGTAACCTAGCATAGTCACAGGTTCCAGGGACTAGCGTGTAGACATCTCATCTTGGTTGGGGAGGGGGGCATTATTCTGCCCACCCCACTGCTCTATAACTCAGTTTCCTCGTTTGTGAAATGGGGGGACTGGGAGGTCCAAATAAGTTAATAGGGTGCCTAGAACACAAGTAGTCAATAAGGATCAGCTTACATTATTATAATTGTATCCACTGTTATCACTAAATGTTTTCTCCATCATGGGGAAAGGTACACGGGGCAGGGTACAATGTGTTTGGAGACTCTGTAAGACCTTAGTCTGACAGGTTGTCAGAGCACAGTTAGGTAACATTTCTCAGGGGAACAGTGATTGGCCTGATTATAAGCAACTACAGCCACAGTGTCACATCATTCAGGAGTGTGACAAGGCCATTCCATCTATATCTGCTTAATAAATTTGCCACTAAACAAGCTTGTTGAACATCTAGATGGGGCCAGACATTGTGCCCAGTCCTGGAGCTATGATGGGAAGCAGACATGGATGGGGCTAGTGGGGATAATGGGAAAATGATTTAGTTTCCTTAAAAAGTGAGTAAAGTGATCAAATATGCCAAGAATGAATGTGAGAAGCCTATGTATTCTCATCAGAGGTTGTAAGACGGTAGCATTTCCTTCTCTTGAATCGTGTGATCTGTTATAGTTAGTGGACCTCAAACAGCTATCACAGATCAAAAAACTTCTATAGACCATTTCTGAAAGTTAAAAGCCCAGCTAAGAGAAAGCTTAGGTTTTAACACCCTAAACCTAGCTTTTCAAAATAAGGAGGATTTTTATTATATTAGAAAGGATAAAAAAAATGGGGATTTCAGAAAAGTATATAATGTATCACTTGCAAAGGATAAATATTTGCAATCAATACTAGCGAGGTTTAAACAGTTAACAACAATATTAATTCAAATGCTTGGCAAAAACTCAGCTTGGAGTTGGAAGTATTTTTGTTTTCTGTTTCATTAGAGTAGGGGTTGGCAGACTATGGCAGATGAGACAATTCTAGCCTGCTGTCTGTTTCTGCAAATAAAGTTTTATTGGAACCCAGCCACGCCCATCATTTACATACAGTGTAGGGTTGCTTTTGCATCCTGATGCTGAGTTGGATGGTTGTGACAGAGGCGGTATAGCTCTCAAAGCCTAAAACACAGTTGCTCTCTGGCCCTTTATGGGAAAAGTTTGCCAACCCCAGTGCTAGACCATTACTGCAGGACTCAGTATCCTGACTATTTTCCACCTTCCCCTGAGGCATTTGCAGCAGAGCCAGAGGCAAACACAGTTTTCCTGAGTTGGCAGGAAAGTGACACATTATAGAGGGAAATTTTCCCAGTCTCAGGCAGGCTTCCAGAGCCGCGGCTGGCGATTGCGTGGCCGATGTTTGGGTGGGTGTAATTGCATGGACGTAAGTTTCCTCCCTTGCCTTCCCAGCTGGCCAAGGAAACCACAGCAAGGCCCAGAAAGCAAACACAAGTGCATTCATTTTGACTGAAAGGGTTCTGAGGAGGGCTGGCGGGCCTGGGCATGGGGGTCAGGGCGCTAATGCTGATTGTGCTGGGAGGGAACCTAAGTCTCTGCAACTTCCTTTCCTCCTAGAAAAGATGGGTTTGGAAGAGCTGAGTCTCAGTTTCCTCCAGTTCTAAAAAATCCTGTGAACATCTCAGAAGGCATTCAACTGAGAAAACTAAAGTTTGGTGCGTTCTACTGTGATTTCCTATTGCAAGTGCAATGAAAACGAAGTGGACTACAGCGAATTCGGGACAAAGGCAGCACTGGCCTGAAATACACTACTTAGGGATGCAAACACTTCTCTATGCAAAACTTGTTCTATTAGGTGAAATATGAAATAAATACCACTGAGAACCAAAAAAAGGGTGTATGTGTGTGTGTGTGTGTGTGTGTGTGTGTGTGTGTGTGTGTGTGTATGTGTGTGTGTGGTGTGAATCCAGTGGTTTTGAAGCTGTTAATTCTATAATCCGGCTGTTAATTTATAAGGTCACGAACCATGATTTTTCTAAAATTTGGAAGACACAGGCTTTACTGCTAAGGCTGGAAAGATTTTGTGACCCAACCATTTAGAGCTTCCAAATTTCACTGCATAAGGCAGAGTTCAAATCCGTGAACCTCAGGAGGCCAGAGGGAGGCGGCGGTGGCCACGTGCTTGCCGCTGAGATCTGGCCCCACGGTGCCCTGCTTACCTTAAAGCTGTCTTCTTCCTCCAGGTACACTGGACTCATGCTGCTTAGAGCCACAACAAACTCCAGGGCGACCAGCGGCTTGCGAGTCTGCTGCCGGACCCTCCGGTCTGTGAGCACGCCTCTGATCGCCTCCACGATGTGTCCCTGGGTGAAGCCATCGGTGACCTTTGCCAGACAGCTCACGTTCAAGGCGTTGGTAATGACTCCCCCTCTGCGCTGAATGATCTGCTTCCACAGAACTGGTGTGTGGACATGGTGGGAAAGACACAGAGAATCAGGGTTACCACAGAGAAGGCGGTATTTACCAGTGTAGCTCTCGGTACAAAGACACACCTCAAGACAGGAGTACAGGGGAGGCTATTCCAGTTGGTCTGAACTTTGAATAAGCAGAAAGCCACATAATGAAATGCTTTCCTCTGAGTGATTTTCAACCATAGGACATACATATTGATGCTGCTGAGTGCTATAGACCCACAAGTCCCCTTGGGAATTGACAAGGAAAAAAAATTACACCACAGTCAATATAGTTTTAGCATGGTTCCTTGAAAAGTGTTCAAAATCTTTCAAAAATTGAAATTCACATAGGGTGTATATATATGGAATCTCTGCTCATCTGCTCATTGGAATATTATAGTTACGAGTTTAGATAAGTAGGAGTATGACGCTCTTTAAAGTTCATTTCTTACATTATTTTTATATAGATTCCAATTTCCATTAGCCACTAACAGGCCCAGTTCCCTTTGGGTGTGAGACACTGTATGATACATCGGATGGAAAACAGAGCATTTGGTCCTTACTTTCTCCGCCTAATAACTGTAAACATGCATCGCGTGGCTGATCTACCGGCTGATCTCTGGGTTTGTGGAACCTGGGGAAACTGAGGGATCTCACTCAGAACGTAGGGATGCTGTGAAGATGAATGATGAAATGATTCCTGACGTTCACGTGACTTTAGAGATGGAATGAGTGCCCATGCAACACTGAGCTAACATTACACTTAGAGAACCACGTCCGTTCTGCAAGGAGCGGGGAGTAAATGAGATTCACTGTCACTCGTTTAGTCGGATCCAGAAGGGTGAGGCCACCGCCGAGGTCATCTGTCTCAGAGCCAGTCTCAGTGCTGGGAGGATCTGGCCAAAATGTCTCTAAAGCATCTTGACCTCCTTTGAGGAATATTGGGAATATGAAAAAAAGTGACCATTACTGTAATGATCGGACTATGTCATCCAAATACATGGATCCAGAAACACGTGAGGAAGTGAGAAGCTCTGACCACCAAGAGACAGAATGACTTGCAATGCACCTACGAGCCACATCGGAGCGGCTGGCTTTTGGGCCCTGAGCTGTTCCAACAGTTCGCCTCCACTGTCCTCTTTGGTGGAAGGCCCTTGGCCCTGTGATGAGCTGAGTGCTGGAAAATGTCCATTTCCCGTGGGGCCTGCTGGTGTCTCCAAAATGTGGAAGGTCAGGCTTCAAGGACTGAGAGCTGCAGGCTGGCCAGTGAGGGCCATGGCCCCCAACTTGACCTAAAGCAACATCTAACCCCTGGGTCTACACGGCTACTCCCTTGGTGGGGTTTTTGAGCTTCAGCCCGCCTTAGGCTTACTTATCAAATGGGAGTAGAAAGGTTTAATTCTCAGGCTGCTGTGAGAAATAACTACAAGAATGGGAATAAAGCACTTGAAAGAGCACTGTTCTTGCCCGGGATGGGTACTTTATTTTCTGTTGCTGTATTTCTGTGTTTCTGTGATAATTATTACTCTTCGTCATTCCATTTTGCACTGAAGTTTCCTGATGCTCACTGAAACATCAATTATAGAAGATGACACAAAATCAAGTACAGAACATTTCGAGGCTATTTGTATAAAGATAGATTGAAGTAGGTGAGGGGGACCCTTATCCAAATAAAACGGCTGTAGGGTTAGAAATCAGAAGACATAACAGTGCAAAAATAAACAGCCACCACCAGAGCCAGACAGCATCATCCCTTGGGATCTAGTATGTCTCCTGCCCAAATTTATAACATCTAAAAAAAAGTGCAAACAGGTCTGAGTAGTGACTCTGGAAGCTGAGAAGGGAACCCGTTTTATGGGAGAGTCTCAAGGGATCGCCCCTAGAGCTGAGGACCCAGTCAGTACCCCAGGCTGGGAACCCAGCACAGTTTCAGCCATGGGTGCCCACGGGCCAAATTCCTACCTGCAGCGTGGAGTGGACAAGTCAGAGGGCAGACATGAGGGTCAAGGGCGCTTTAGCAACAAACACTCAGCTCTCTCCCCTGCCTCCTGTTAAGCTACGGTAGTCACAGCCATCCAAGCTTCCAACATAAGGACTCTATAAGATTCATCAATAGCGGGGTAAGAAAAACGACAATTACTCTGGTCTAGCGTGTACATAGAAACACACCATTGACCATCGAAGTGTACACTTGGTGTTCATGTAGCGCTTTGGTTATGACGCCTCAACATACCTAGGTCATTGGTTACTTCCAGAAGCTCGCCATTTTGTAACGGAGGTGCAGTAAGGAGCTCTGTGGGGGCAGTCACGGCTACGGTGGGACTTCCCACTTGTCCAGAGCCATGTCAACCTCCAGAGAAGGGACAGACAATCAAGCTGGACTTCCACCTCATGTGTGATGGACTGGACTTACTAGCTCTTAAGAGACCAGCCTCTACTGCTTTTACAAAGCCACCGGCTCATTCTTGACACTTAGAAACAGTGACGCTACAAGGCGAGTCAGGTGCGAGTGAGTCGCAGCCTGATGGGCTCACTGAGCGAGCCCCACAGCCAGCACTGAGGCCACCAGCAGGCTGCCAAGTCTTTAACCCAGTCGTGCACGTGGAGAACACAAAGCGAGGGCCAGCGGTGGGTGTGGTGGCGAGGCCCGGGGGCCAGGGGACCGAGAGGGCTCACAGCAGTGGACGTGCTCTCGCGACCGGGTGCTGTATTTTCCTTTCCTCTCTTGGATGCAAAAGGTACCTCAGTTCTTCACACTAGATCCACCTTCTTCCCTTTCTTGAGACTGAAAGAAATCTGGTCTTGGGGTCCCTTTCTCTGTTCTTGGCATTCTAGATTGATTCCATCCTGGCTAATGCTCGAGATGAGGTAGTGTCATAAAGTTCATTTTTATTTTGCATTTTGCTAAAGCAAAAGAGGTGAATAATATGATTTGGATGAGCTTCTGGCTTCTGGAGCCTAGAATTCCAGAAAAATCGGAAGACATGACTGGATTGATCTGAGCAGACAGTGGGTCCGGGGTGGGGGGCCTGTGATGAATTGGGTTATTAGCGAAAAGACCCCCGGGAAGAGAGGCGAGAGGAGGAAGCATCAGGAAAGTGGAAAGAAGGAAGCCCAAGGGATTTCTGGGGACTAGATGAGGCGTGAATCAACCCTGGGGGTGGGTGTTCTTTGCAGGGCCATTTTGAAGGAAACAGCTTGATTTTGGGAAAGAAGACAGATACTGAATTGTATTTGGTAATCCCTAAGGGCTGCGTTTCCTCAGGCTGGCCCGCCCTTCTCTCCTCAGCCCGGTGCCTTCCCTACGCTGCCCCCAGGAATGTGAGACGAGGGACCATGGTTGCTCCCGCCACGTTTGGCGCTCTGCTGTCGTTAGATGGATGGCCAAGCAAAGACCCAAGTTATGGGTTTGCAGCCCATGCTTCCTGGCCTGGAAAAGACCACTTTTGATCACTGCAAAGGCAGGAACAGTCTTTCTTTAAGATGGATGTCCCAGCCACTGTGGCTATGAAAACCTCAAGGTCACTGGAGGAAGTGTTGGACAGCATTTATGAAGTTGGCAAAAACAACAGCCTGAACAAATCACCCACCGAGAAATAAGTATGTGAGGAGCACGTGGCTCAGTGGATAGAGCCCTGGGCCCGAGACAGCTGCTGTGTGCTGGTTTATCATCAGCCCACAGGTGAGGGGACGCCTTCTCCTTCCTCTCCCATGATGTGGCCGACGGGAGGCTCAGGTGGGAATCTGTAATATGGTCCAGTCCTTAGAGCTGACTGGTATTTTATCAAAAGAACACAACTGTCTTGGTTAGACACCAATAGCTTTGTTTTTAAAGGGCCCATGGTTTTGTCAAACAAACAATAGAAACTATTCAATCCGAAGTCAAGGATAATGCTCTAGACCCTTAAAATTAGTTATACCCTACCTTATTCCATGAAGATAGCTTAAAGATATAAAAATGTATACTATAAAGAAGGAGGAGGAGAAGAAGGGACCCCGATAAAGGAAGCCGGGCTGAGGGGACTGAGAGTGGGAAAGACCCCACAGAGCCGGCAGCGTGGGGCCCCTGCATGGACGCGCAGTGGGCTCAGGCTGCTGGGGCACACCCACCTCCGTGCCGACTCCTTCCTTGGCTGGACTATGCGCCCAGCCCCCTCGACCCTGGGTGGGGCCATGCGAGTCATTCTGGCCAGTGTACTGTGGTGGAAGAACTCTTGGCCCCTCGATGTTAGGGTCGGGTCCCTGACATCTCCTGTGAAACCCTCCATACTATCTTCCTCTCTTTTCTGTTGATCTTGGCCAGATGCAGAGGGTCCAGTGGGGAGCCTGGAGGTCCTAGGAGATGGAGAGGCCTCTAGATGGATGGGTAAATTACGGGGACCCAAGTCCTCCGGGGCTTTTTGTATAACGTGGGCTTATGAAGCCAGGACCATAATTGATCAAGACAGAAATGAGCATGCACTCTAGAGCACCAGCTGACATCTGACTGCGACATCCTGAGACCCCTCAGGGAGAAGTCCCCAGCTGAGCCCAGCAAACCCTCAGAACCACGATAGAGAAGAGTTTGTCATTTTCAGCCACTGGGAGGTTTGTTACACAGCAAGAGCTAACAGAAACATCTGTCAGTGGCACCATGGCCTCCATCACCTGCTATCTCCTCCTTGAGCGCCACAGCCCAAGGGTCTCCTGCGAGCTGATACGCTGCTAGGTGTTCTGCTAACCACCTCCCATGAAGGTGACAACAGCCCTGTGGATTACCCATTCTCCTACTTTACAGAGGAGAAATGGTGGCTCAGAGGTCGGCTGAGGTGTCCAGGTCATCCTGCTCTTCCCCTGCGGAGCTGGGATTCCAAACCAGGTCTCATCCGAGCCCCAGTCTCACGGCTCTTTGCAACTTCATTGTACGGCTCTGGGGACCCCTTACTTATATTGTCCCCATTGAAAAATATGTTTCAAAGGAAGTGGACTTTGACTCTGTCTATTCAAGAGGAAAAAAAATGGAAAAAGTGCGCTCCTGTCATATTTAGTGTTTATTTTAAGTAAGTCAACATGCTCCTGGACTCACACTTTAAGACTGAAAAAAGAAAAAAGAAAATCAACCCGGTGAAAAGAAATAGTGTCGTATGAGAATGGCTGATCCTACTCCACCTGTCAAAAGAAAAAAATTCGCACTCACACGGGCTTTTGTCACCTTCAGGGCCCCAAATAATAATCCCTATCCAGTTCCCTTTGGTCTTGGGGAAAAAGAGATACGTTAGCAGCAGAACAGAGATGTATGTTTGCTCTTAGGACCTGGTGGTTTACATTTATGGCACCGAGTTTGGCTGATGCCCAGGAGCACACACCACTCCAGTGCACAACTCCACGTCCATGACCTGGTCACCAGATGAGTGGGCGACCAAAGCCACCGTCCCAGCTTCACATGCCTGCACCCAGCACCTGCCCGCCCAGCCCCGGTGACTGTGCACGGGGAGCGGCCAGGGTACTTGCCATATCTGGAAGCATAGTCTGGTCTGGGAACCAAGATAATTTTTTGGTAAACTCTGCAAAAAGATTGAAGTTCGGCATCGAAAGGACGGTGTGTGGTCCCCACAATCAGAATCCTGTCGTTTGGTTTCAGGAGTTTCAGGATTTTTGGAAGCTGTTTCTTCAGGCGTTTAGGCTCCATCTGGGAGAAAGAGAGAAGAAAAACAATGTGAGCCTGCATGTAGAGAGAACAGTTAAGAACTGAAGGAAATTCTCTCATGGGAGGCACTGCGGCGTGCGTTGCCGGATGATTTCAAAACTCTGATTAGCACCATTTTTGCAAGTTTGTCCTGGGCCAGGGCTGGGGATGTGCTTCCTAGTGGGGTGGCCGCCCCTGCAGGCGCTTCCTGTCCTTGGTCTCTGGCGTTCGGACATGGGAGGAGGGCGAGGAGGGAAGCACCTGACTGAAGAACATTCTAGCACCTTAGCCCTGAGAACAGGAAACAGCGGCAGGTTTCCAAGCGGAAGGAAGCCGGCCGGGATTGAGAGTTGGTGTGCGGGCGCCGTGTTCCTCTGAGCTGTTTGGAAGGTGAACCCCACATTTCCTCTGCTGACCGCCCTGACAATGAGGGACCGAAGTCCTGGATCGCATGTCTGAAAGACGCCCCTTACAGAAGAGTGACACTTCTGCCTCTGAGGCAGTTTGGAAATAGTTGGGACCTGTGTTATTTTAGTGTAATCTCAGCACTTATGAGGGAGAGCAGCAAGACACAAGCGTCCCCCCCCATACCTACCCCCTGCCAAGGACGACTTCCAGCCCATGGGGGTCGGTCAGACTTGGCCACATTGCCACGGCAACACTAAGCTGTAAATGAACCTCCCCTGGAAGAATCCTGGGGAGGAGGAGGTGATGGCATGATGGATGGACAGATGGATGGACGGTCTCTGCAGGGACCCCAGGCAGCACCCTGTAGAGACCAGGCACCTGTTGTTGGGCACTGCGTGTCCCTGTACACCCAGCTGGGAGAGAACCCTGCCCACGGGAAGTGCCAGTGACCTCAAGGGGAGTGGGAGTTTGATAAATCCCACCCTCAGGGATACAAGCGAACAGCAGGGTATTGAAGTCACAGCTGGCGGGGTGTGTGTGTGTGTGTGTGTGTGTGTGTGTGTGTGTGACAGAGCCGGGTACGATTTGCAGGGCCTTTGGGACAGGGGCACTCATGTGCTCTGAACCCTGTCCCATGGGAGGCCCGTGGGTCGGCCCAGTCTCTCCGAGTCAGGCCTGTAGAGCTGGGAGTCAGGACCGGATGGCTGAAGTGCCCCACCCTGGAGGGCAGGGGTGCCGAGCAGAGGGGGTGGTGACACAGGAGGCCTTCCAGGGGAGGGTGAGGGGCTCCCCTGAGCAGGGTGGCTGGACTGGGCTCTGAAGCACGGTGTCTACTCTGCATCAGGAGGCTGCTGGCCATGCGGTGGGCACGGTGCTTGTCTGCTTTCTTCCTCCCTTCTTCCTTCTGACCAGCAAAAAGGCCAAGTTCGCCGTGTGTGTGACAAGGCGCAGGGAGGAGGCTGGGCGAGGACGAGCAAGATCTGGGGACCGGGGGACCTTGGGAGGAAAGCCCAAGTTGTGGGAGCCTGGGGGTGAGGGCGGCTGGCCTGGATCTCCAAGGACAGACAGGGAGCTAGTTCTGGGAGCACCGGCCTCGCAGCCATCACCTCCACCCAGGCTGCTCATAAACCTTCCCGCTTAATAAAAGCAGTAAGCAGCACCTGCTGAGTGCTTCTCTCAGGGCTTCTGTGCACTTGTCACTAACCCTCACAACGTCCTTTGGAGGGGACACATCACCCACACTTGGGAGATGAGAGCCTGGGGCTCGGGGACGCTGAGGGACCTCCTGCAGCCCCAGAGTTGACGAGCAGGACCCCGGCTGTGCACACTCTCGGCTCTCCCTCTACTCAGGGGCCCTGTCTCTCAGGGGGAATGTGCCGGTGGGGCTTGCATGTCCCCCCGAATCTCCTTCCTGGGTAAGGGCCTATCCCAATCGAGGGTAGCAAAGGAGACTGAAAATAATATTTATTATTATATCATGTATTATGTTGTATATTATGTATATTATGATCTCTCTCTCTCTCACACACGCACACACACACACACACCAGCTTTATTGAGATATAACTCACATACCTACAATTCATCTATTTAAAGTATATCATTCAGTGTTTTTAGGATATTCAGAGTTGTGCAACCGTCACCACAGTGAATTTAGAATGCTTTCATTGCCCCCACAGACTGGACCCACTAGCAGTCACTGCCTATTCTCCCCCAACCGCCTTCTGCAGACCCAGGCAGCCAGTAATCTACTTTCTGTCTCTACAGGTTTGTACATTCTGCATATTTCACAGTGTCATACAATGTGTGCGTGCACGCACGTGTATGTGCGTGCGTGTGTGTGTGCGTGTGTGTGTGTGTGTGTCTGGCTTCTTTAGCATGGTATTTTCGAGGTTCACCCATTTTGTGGCATGCACTAGTACTTCATTTTAATTGGTCGATAGTATCCATCACACAGACAGACCACATTTTATTTATCCATTCATCAGTTGATGGATGTGTGGGCTGTTTCCACTTTTTGCCTACGGTGAGTAGTGCCGCTACGAACATTTGTGGAGGCGCACGTTTTCATTTCTCTTGGGCATATACATAGGAATTGAATTGCTGGGTCATAGGTTTAACTTGCTGAAGAAACGTCAGACTGTTTTCCAAAGTGGCCACACCGTTTTGCAATCCTAGTAGCAGAGTGTCAGGGTTCAAGTTGCTCTGTACCCTTGTCCAC